TTATCATTTAGATTTTTTTGAACATAAACATAAGTTTGAATAAAAAGACAAAAATGTGGGTGCTACATGTAGAAAGTCTATTTAATAAGTCTCTAAAACTATGCAAATGTTTCAGATCATTATATAAACAGATAAAAACCCCATAAGCCCTCAGCGTCTTAGGAGCAAATTCCTCCTGTAATGACATATGAATTCCCAAAGTATAAATTGGAAATATAATTGTTTGTATTTGTGTGAGAGAAAGGCATTGAGGAATAGTTTTTCCAAAATAAACACTGAAAAACACCATGAAACCCTCAGACTTTATAGATCCATATCTTGACTATTCAAGCAAATTTGGACTGAATAAGTTTTAGCATGTTTGTTTCACTAAGGTTTTAGTGGGCAGTGTGCTAGGAGGAAATGTGGTTTTGCTACAATGCCAAAACGTGCAAGGATGCATTTTTCTGCTCATAAAAGGGAATCTGGTCAGATAAATATGCTGATTTCCATTATTGGAGACCTTCTGCATAAGGAAAAGCCTTCGCTCCTCAGATTTAGCCGTTGTTTCATTGAGATTTACCAATAAAATCACCAAACTGAATAGAAAATAAGAATAACAGAGCAGCTTATGTAACGCATGCAGGTTACATCACCTGAAATGGTCGCACAATGACCTCCAATGACATTTACAGAGGTCTGAGCCTCTTGTTTCCAATGATGGCGACTGTTAGGGGGCGGGGCTAAAAATGAATATCTCCTGTTGCATTACTATTAAATCTCATTTTATTTGTTTACACAGCTATAAAGCAAAAAGTACTTGTGAAAAACTCATTTTAGAGCCCCATTTGAAAGGGATGTGGATGAAACACCTGAGCAGGTGTCAGCTGGGCCCTGTATCGGGCTGGCCGTGTTCTGTCAGACCAGCATACGCATGCGCAAGACGTCAGATTTGCTTTTATCCTTTTAGTTTTGTACAAAAAATATACTTTAAACTACCATGACGAGCGTATATCCCTTTAGTCATGTATAAAAAGAAAACATTTTAAAGTCAGATCACCATACGCTTAAAAAAAAACACAAAAAAGTAAGTAATTAAATAGTTTTTTTGTACATGACTAAAGGGATACGCAAGGGTTGAGGTAGTTTAAAGTCTATTTTTCATTCAAAACCAACCGGATAAACTAACGGGATAAATGGCTATTGAGCAGAGGTATGCTGGTCTGACTGGTAGGGGTGTAAATCACATCCATCATGGCGATTCGATTCAGTATCGATTTCCTGACCCAACGATTCAATTATTTTCGATACTCAAGAATACACCACGATTCGATTTGATTAATCAGTAAATGTTTTTTATTATTATTATTATTTTTTTTTTAACCTTACAGGCTAAACAAAGTTTCAAGTTTGAAATAAATCAATGAAAGCTGTAATATCGTTATGCATTTTTTTTTTTGAAACAACAGCAAATAACAGAAGTAGAAAAGTTGCATCAAAAAATACTGCAGAAATACTGCACAATATCAGTGTAATGAGTTCAATTCAATACCTCGGCTCCAGACTCCGCCCCCTCCACAGACGCTCCGCTGCTCCTCTCCCAGATTGTAGCTGATCGCAGACAGCGCCACAGACAGGAAGCCGGCTTGGTTTGTTTTTATGACCGAAATTGCGGAAAACAACTCGTGAAGTTTGACCCGCTAGCAGAGCGAGGTGCGTGAGAACGCTGGGAGCCGTATCTAGACCCACAGCGTGTAGCACAGACCACGCTTCAATATTGAGCATAAATCAAAAATGTCTGCATCAAGCTCACTGCAACACACTGCTGTAAGAGTTTAACCAGGAAGCGAGGTAGGAGGGCACAATAGGTTTAGCGCCACCGCAGCACGGGAGGAGAATTACGTCCAGGAGCAAATGGATAAAAAAAAAAAACATGAATCGATTATCTTGCGGACGTATCGATGCATCGGATCGTCGGCTTTTGGATCGATGCATCGATACAAAACGATTATTATTTACACCCCTACTGACTGGGTATGCTGGTCTGACTGGGTATGCTGGTCTGACAGGACACCGAGTTTGAGGGGTTGATCAAAGAAAATGTCTTATGTTTAAAAGTGATTGATTGAAAAAAAAAATCAAAAGAAAAAAAAAGGTTAATGCAGCCTAAAAGCTAAAAAAGTGTTTGGTATGTTCCAGAATTAAAAACCTAGTTTTTTTTGTTCATGGTGACAAACTTTAAAATATCTTTGTATAGAAAACCTCCCACTTTTTCAATTATTAAAAGGAGGTGTATCTGGTTTCTCCTGATCAAGGATCAGCCTTTAGTCCGTCACAGGGCAGCTCTGGCCACAGCTCGCCTCCATCAGTGAAGCATAAACCACTTTTCTGCAAATCATTTAAAGAAGGATAAGACCAGAACAAAGGACCTGTCTGTATCCACATTTTGCACCATGACTTCAAGTTTTTTATATATTTTCTTATTCATTTATGTCAAATTTAAATAAAGTCGACACCACTTTATTCCTTTGTAACATGAATATCCCATTATTAGCTAAGCAACCCTAGTTGGTTGTCTCTTTATATCACTGTAGTTATGTAATCTCTTAACTCCAGCATGTCTGTCCTACTTTTTGGAGCATCCAGTTTGAAAATCTGGAGCATAGTCTCTACCACTTAGAGGCAGCACTCAAGATGAGGAGGATTTTACAAAGAACAAATACTTTGTTACTGTACTTAAGTACACTTTTTAGGTATCTATACTCTACTCCATTACTTTTTTTTCTTCCTACTTCTGACTTCTACTCATTCCATTTTCAAACCAGTATCTGTACTTTCTATTCCTTACATTTTTAAAACAAACGTTACTCGTTCCTCTTGGCTTCAGTTTAATGTTTCTAAATCTTTATTTCCCGTCATGTGCTCCATCCAATGCAGATCATTGGCTCCGCCCACATCTAGTGAAAACTAGTGTGATTGGATGAGTCATAGAACGCAAACACTCATTGGTTAGCTAAAGGAAACCATCAGAAGCCAGCAGGTGTTCTTCAAACTGCTAACGTGAATTGTCTATGCCATGCTACGATGTGGGATTCAGAAAAAGATGCTGAAATGTCTGAAAGGTCGGACACAGGCGAGAGCGTATCGGGAGACGGAGACCAACAAGACCTCCCTCATCCTTGGCCCTATCTCAGAGGATTTATAGAAATAGTCGTAAAATTGAGCTTTTAAAGGTTACTTAATACTCTTATACTTTAAGTAGTTTTTGGAGCACATACTTTTTCACTTTTACTTGAGTAAAGAGGTCAAGTTGATACTTCAACTTTTACCTCAGTGTTTTTTTTTGTTTTTTGTTTTTTTCCAGTGTCCTGTCTGCCAATGTGGCAATAAGAATAATTGTCTTGATGCCAAAAAGAGCCCAACAGATTTTACTTTCACAAGTGGAGCAGTATGGCAATTGCCATATTGCTCCACTTGTTTCATGCATATAAATTTGTTATATAAATTTATTATAATTATGCAGCGAGTTTTACAGTTTATATGGACACTGCAATGTAAATAGAGCAGAAAAACAGAAGAAGAAAAAGGAAAAGAGAAAAGATGAAAGAAAGAAGAGATAGAAAGGAGACAATGACAAAACATTTTCATTCTGCTTCATCACCTGTAACGAGATGAAAAAAGAACAGCACAACTGAAAGACATGGTACGAGATATACGATAAAGCAACACCTTGAAACTATTGCTAAAGTAATATTATTAAGTCTGACATGTACTGTACCAAAGTGTTTTTTAATGGCAGTATTTATACTTCTACTTAAGAAACGAATGCGTGACACCACTGCCCCCTTCTTAAATGACCTCAGGCTATGCTTCCAAAAAAAGAAAAAAATTTCCCCAATCCCCATTCTTTTTTACAACTAGAGTATTGCTTAGAGATGCCTAATATCTCAGGGTCTTTATTTCCATCCCTGAAGCGCCCAGTCAGACTGGAATAGTTAGAAGTTGCTTTATGCTGCTGTAAAAGGTGTCGGTGTCCTTTTATTTATATATATATATCTATATATATATATATATAGATATATATATATCTATATATATATATATTTGCATTTTTCATGTTGAAATTCTTACTGTTGTTTTTAGGTAGACAATTTTAAGATCTGTCCAGGGACCACAGATGAAAAATAGCCTTTTGGCTAATACTGCTGCATTTGCAGGAATGCTTATTAATGTACACTGTCAATTAAATAAATAATAAATCTGAATCAATGTGGCTTTGATTCTTAGTTTATTAGGATCTCTGCTTGTAGCTGTTTTTATATGATTTTATACTTTAACTTGGATCGGTGTGATGAGCAGGGCTCCACTTTGCCACCATGACTTAACGTGGTTTCTGCACCCACAGCTAAGCAGCCTGCCTTTGCCAGAAGTGCTCAGTAAAAAAAACAGGGATGGGGCCCCACTTTTTACGCCATTCGCCTTTTACAGGCTGAAAAAAAACAGGCACTATTCCTGCCTTTTCGTTGAAAATGATTGTAATGGGGCTATTTGATACTATTTATTTTTATTCTGTATGATCTTTTATTCATTTATGTTTCATTCATGTTTATTTTTGTATTTGCTTTCGTTTTAAGAGTATTGTAGATTTAAAAAAAAGTTTATATATTTTTTTAAAGCACTGTGATTTACTTCTCTACTTTCTTACTGAAAAGTTTGCACCAAAAGGGTGATTTCCTGCGAAAAGTTCACATATCGTCAAACAACAACCATCTGAAAGAGGATTTATCTCTCAGGTCATAAGTGGGATTATTTATAATTTCTTTGACAAATTACATGTAGGTCACCTGCTTTAAATTGCTTCTTAGGCAGAAATTACATTTTTCCTCCACTGGTCGACTTTCTTTTAATGGTTTTGAAGATGGGTAGAAGGTAGAAGAGACACAACATCTGCAGATATGCAGAAATACTTGCATGTTATTTTAATTTCCTTTGTGCACCTCTACTCCCCCCCCCCCCTGCAGGCATGCACACCAGCATCAGCGAGATCCTGAGGGAGAAGAGCCTGAAGCCGTCTCGCCGCAGCCTGCCCTGCCTGGCTCAGAGTCAGACACATCCCATCAACCTCAACCACTTCCTGTCTGTGCCTCTGAGCCCAGATCCCAAACCAGAAGTGGACGACCTGAGTCAGAGCATCAGCACGTCCTGCAGCCTTCTGCCGCCACAGTCAGGCAAGTATAAAGATTATCTGACCATTAAATGAATCAACACTGCTTATGTCTGGACTTTCACTTATTTAGTTTTATTGCATGAATTTATCTTTTCACGTTAAATCAATTCAATTCAGCTTCTATATAGAAACACATTCACATCATGTCATCTCAGGTCACTTTCCAGTTCACCAGATCATCCAGTCAGATTGATTCAAAGTTTTCTATCTAAGGAAAACCAGCTGATTGCATCGACTCATTGACTCTTCAGCAATCCCTCACACTAAGCATGCTTGTAGCGACAGTGGAGAGGAAAAACTCCCTTTGAACAGGAAGAAACCTCCAGCAGAACCAGGCTCAGTGTGAGCGGCCATCTGCTGAGGCCCACTGGGGTTCAAGGAGACAGAAGCAGACATAGAAAAAGAAGCATAGATACAAAAGGCAACTGTCAACCAGCTCCACAGGCGGCCCCGTCCAGGAAACACACAGCCAGGCAGACGAGCTCCGAGCCAGCTCCCATGTCAGAGGATGAAGAGAGCACATCCAGTTAGTCACAGTCAGAGAAACAGGACTACACTGGAAAACAGGCCAAGCTCCAACATCTAGAAACAAAGGTGTTGATGGCAGCAGCACAGCTGATATTTCTCTCCAGGATGGAGTCACAGCCAAACAGGAACAGACCAGATGAAGCTACTATGAGAAAAAGCAGAGAGAGCAGAACGTTAGAGATTGAACTAACAGATTCTGCAGAGTGGGAGAATAGAGATAGAATGAAGCAGAATGATGAAAAAGGGGTCCCTATGTCCTCCAGCAGTCTAAGCCTATAGCAGCAGAACTATAGAGATAGATCAGGATAACCTGAGCCACTCTAACTAGAAGCTTTATCAAAAAGGAAAGTTTTAAGCCTAGCCTTAAAAGTAGACAGGGACTAAAACTAGTAGTTGGTTCCTGAAATCAAACTTGATTAGTAATTTTCTTTTCATGCAGACACAAGAGTTTTTGTTTTATAAGTTTATGCATGTATTATAGTCAGGAAGTACTGAAGAACATCTGTTTGCAACTCAATTTAAACATAGTCTGTGTTTCTTCTTGACGCTGCGTTGAAGTGGAACATAGCCGGCAGCTGCTCATACATTATACTGACATTGGAAGCACACGTATTACTGATTATATTAATCCTGCAAGGCTTCTGCAGAATCTGTTGTAAAGTCACAGCTGTCTGATGCTCTTTCAGATGAAGTGAGATAAAGCAGCAAAACCAAAGGAAAATAAAAACATTTGTGCACTGAGGAGTTGCCTGTATAAAAGAAAAAATATTCACGTCTTTATAAATTTTATGACAAGTGGCAGTGAGAGCTCTATTTCTAGCACCTGTGAGATCTAATAATACCATCTGAGGAAACATTTTTCTTGAGTGCTTGCAGGAAGAATCAAGCAGCGTTTCCAGTTTGGTCATTTCTCAGAAAAAAAATGACATGTTGTGACAATGTTCAGATAAGATATCATGGAACTGCATCAGAATTTTTCCTCTATCTGAACAAGGTGAAGACTGACAGGAAAAATATAGACACAGCAGCTGACAGGGACTGACACAGCTGGGGGCCCATCAGCCTTAAAGGAGAAGTCCGCTCACATTCAGAGTATAAACTTCTGAAAGTACTTTAAATATAAAAATATGACATACTGCTTAATTAATAAGTGTTTTTAATTCAGAGTAATTTTCAATTTTCATTCATAGAAGTTTGGGCAGCAAGTTCCCGTCTACAGCGTAATTACAGAGCTGAAGAAATAAGCTGAGTAGTTTTAAATGAATACTGGAAGATATAAAAACGCTTCCTAAAGAAATTTACATCCATTTTTTATGAACCTTTTACTTGCAATTGGGTACTTCTATATTTTACTGTTTTTTTTTTTGTTTTTTTTATTCAGACTTTATTTTAGATGTTTTATAAGGTGGTAAAACATCCCACTTTTAAAGGAAAAGTTCAGCCTAATTCAGAAAACAAACTTCTGAAAGTTCTTTAAATCTGAAATGATTCCATCCTGTTCAATAAATGATCAGTGTTTTTAATTCAGAGTAATTTTCTTTTACTGGGCTTTACTTCAGTTTCAGCTCTTCTAAAAAAGCCATGTGTCAAAACAAATAGAAACATATTTAAAAACAAAGCTAATTTATTTTCTTTGTAGAAATGTTGCTCTAAAATGTGCTTCCCATATTGAATTTTCTCAGATTTTCAGATTTGTGGGTATTCTGTTAAAGGAAAAGTCGCTCATATTCAGATTCAAACATCTAAAAGTTCTTTAAATCTGAAATGATTCCATCCTGTTCAATAAATGATCAGTGTTTTTAATTCAGAGTAATTTTCATGTGAATGTGCTTTACTGGAGGCATCCATGTTTGTCAAAGAACACTACTGCCACCTACTGGTTAGTGACATTGTCACGGTGCGGTATCGGCTGTTGATCAAGTCCCAGTGCTGTATCTGGTGTTTGTCACAACGCGCTATTATCCAAGTCATCTTGAAAACATTCTTCTTCCAAATGTTGGCTACATATTACGGGTTTTTTCTCTGGCCAGAAGTTCGATGGCAAATCCTCCCTCTTCAAGTTGGCGATCCAACGACCAACCCGTCCGTGGAGGATCAGGAATCAGAAAGGTGGAATAACTCTTTTTTTTTCACTTTTACCCGATGTATTCCAGCATCCAGCTGCCATGCACGTGGGCATTGTCAGTTTCACTATAGCTCTGGTGAATTTCAATGGTGAAGTCCTCTGGAAATCTTCAATAATTGTTGTTGATTGCAGATGTGTCTAGTAGTTCCCATTGATTTAGCTTGGAAAGCGGGGAGAATGGCGCTAGGCTTACCGCACCGTGACGTCACTGCTGGAAGATGGCAGGAGGGAGGGGCTACTATATTTGGGCAAACATGGCCGCTCCCAGAATCAGCGATTTTTAATGATTAACACTAAATTCATTCAATCACTGCGACCGTATAAGTTTTAGGTATAAATAATGATCCATTGATTATTCCTTACTGACTGAACTTTTCCTTTACAAAAAATAAGTTGATCTAATATTGCTATGATCCATCTGCCTGAGGTTCCAATAATAGATTGAATATATCTGCAGGTACAGATGTTTCATTAATCAGATCCACATGTCTGCAAAGTTATTGCCATGGTGAGCTAACTGGGTTTAAAGTTGATTTTTACCTTTACTGTATGGGTTTTTGGATCTTTTTCTTGAGGTTCTGCTTATTTTCTTCCCTTTCTCTTTTGAACTTAATACAAACAGAAGCATGTCATGCTAGCAAAATATCCACCCCCTGAAACACACGGCCCAATGGAAAAAACAAACAAAACCTTGTTGTTTGAACAGTTAGATGTTTTAGAATGTAATTATCAGATAAATTGAGGATCAGGATGAGAAATATTGCCATAATTCTAGTCTTTAGAGGAATCGTTGCAGCCCTACAGCTGGTAAAAGGCTGGGGAATTCATTTTAATAAACTCCCTGCACTCTCTTTCATTTCTCTCTGGAGAAATTTGATTATACTTTTCATTTTGCACATCTGGTAAACATTGTGGGGATTTAGTCTTTCAAGTCTTGTTGCCATTTGAAAAAAACTCTGATTTAATTTCTGAAACTTAGCTTTTGTTATAGGTTTCTTACCCTATTTTATTAGATTTTTAAAGGTATTGTTTGGATCTTTTGTAGTAAATAGCTTTCAAGGTATTAGGAATCAATTCCATTCAGTTTATTTCTATAGCGTCAATTCACATCAAGGCGCTTTCCAGTTCACCAGATCATCCAGTCAGATTGATTCTAAGTTTCTGTCTAAGGAAAACCAGCTGATTGCATCGACTCATTGACTCTTCAGCAATCCCTCACACTAAGCATGCTTGTAGCGACAGTGGAGAGGAAAAACTCCCTTTGAACAGGAAGAAACCTCCAGCAGAACCAGGCTCAGTGTGAGCGGCCATCTGCTGAGGCCCACTGGGGTTCAAGGAGACAGAAGCAGACATAGAAAAAGAAGCATAGATACAAAAGGCAACCAGCTCCACAGGCGGCCCCGTCCAGGAAACACACAGCCAGGCAGACGAGCTCCGAGCCAGCTCCCATGTCAGAGGATGAAGAGAGCACATCCAGTTAGTCACAGTCAGAGAAACAGGACTACACTGGAAAACAGGCCAAGCTCCAACATCTAGAAACAAAGGTGTTGATGGCAGCAGCACAGCTGATATTTCTCTCCAGGATGGAGTCACAGCCAAACAGGAACAGACCAGATGAAGCTACTATGAGAAAAAGCAGAGAGAGCAGAACGTTAGAGATTGAACTAACAGATTCTGCAGAGTGGGAGAATAGACATAGAATGAAGCAGAATGATGAAAAAGGGGTCCCTATGTCCTCCAGCAGTCTAAGCCTATAGCAGCAGAACTATAGAGATAGCTCAGGATAACCTGAGCCACTCTAACTAGAAGCTTTATCAAAAAGGAAAGTTTTAAGCCTAGCCTTAAAAGTAGACAGGGTGTCTGCCTCACGGACTAAAACTGGTAGTTGGTTCCACAGGAGAGGAGCCTGAGAACTAAAAGATCTGCCTCCCATTCTACTTTTAGAAATTCTAGGAACCACTAGTAAACCTGCAGATTGAGAGCGAAGTGCTCTGTTAGGAACATAAGGAACAATCAGATCTCTGATATCAGATGGAGCTTGGCCATTTAAGGCTTTATATGTGAGAAGGAGGATTTTAAATTCTATTCTGGATTTAACAGGAAGCCAATGAAGAGAAGCCAGGATAGGAGAGATATGATCTCTCTTTTTCATTTTCATTAGAACTCTGGCTGCAGCATTTTGGATCAGCTGAAGGCTTTTAACTACAGTTTGAGGACTTCCTGATAGTAAAGAATTACAATAGTCCAGCCTTGAAGTAACAAATGCATGGACTAGTTTCTCAGCATCACCCCTGGACAGGAGATTGCTCATTTTAGCAATATTCCTTAGATGAAAAAGAAGAAAAAAT